GGCGGGGGGGGGGGGGCAACATGCCAGCAGAGGTCCCGGACTCACAGGAGCAGCAGAGGCCCTGCTTGCGGACCCCCATCAGCATGGTGCGGCAGAAGTTGCAGTAGGCAGGTTTCTTGAAGTGCTTCAGCCTCCAGGCATGCTGCCCGTCGTCCTTCACATTCTGCAGGGCAGGAGAGCAGAGGGTGAGGGGTCACTCCCCTGATGCTGGAGGTCCTAGCTCCCTTAACCCACTGCTTTTATCACCTTTTCATCCCCTCAAAGCCCCAGTGTGTTTGCAGGAGTTTGCTCCCAGCAGGACCATGGGGTCTCCCTGCTCCCCTTCTCCCAGGTGTTCCCCGAGTACCCCTGCCAGCACATCCCCCAGGCATGTCGAGCTCCAGGCACCAAGCTCCAGCTCCCTCAGCACAGCCACAGGGATGATCTTGGTGGCTGACAGGAAGGTGACTACACATCTGGGGCCAGGCCACCACCACCACGGGGCGACCAAAGCACCAGCCTCTTACATGTGGGGCCAGCACAAGTGTTTTGCAGAACCCAGTTAAAATTCCCTGCTTTCTTGATTTGTCCTGCCAGAAAGTCTGCTCCCTCCTTGCCCCCTCCATGGGAAACAAACACCAGAATGGGGACTGTGAGCAAAAAACCAGATTTTTCCCTGCAAACTGTTACCCAGTGGCCAGGGATGCACCTGAAAGAAATGAAGGCCAAAAGGATGAAAAGACAATATAGACAAATAAGGGGGGTCGCAGCCACCCCACCTCTGCTCTGGGAAGCTCATCCCATAGGAGGAGCTGCTATTTTAGGTGCTCATCTTAATTTTTGATTAAATATTCAGCAAATCAGAGCGTGCTGCAATAGCAAGGAGTGAGCCCAGCCTGCTTGGGCACAGCAGCTGGCAGTGACTGCAGCTCAGAACTGAGCTTGGGAAGATTTGGGGGGCAAAGAGGGCAGGATGGGGGTGCCATCAGGGGTTGGAGGTCAGTGTGGGGCTGTGTGGCACCAGATGAGTGCATGGTCTGCTGCTGGGGTCGGCTGGACACAGCCAAAGCAGGTCCCTGTGGGGGCACTCACCGTCTCCATCCCCAGGAGGACCAGCAAGGGGATGGTGGTCATGCCCCCCCGGATCCACTCCTCCAGCGTCACGGTCCCATCGTGGTTGTAATCAATCTCCTCCATCATGGCCTTCAAGATCTGGAGGAGGGAAGAAATATGGTGACACGGCGACGCCACCCATGGCTCTGGCTGAGAGTCCCCACATCCTCCCCTGGTTGCCTCCAGCCCTGACACTCACAGGCTTCAGCTCAGTGGAGTCCCACTCCAGGTACTCGGCCACGTGCACCATCTGGTTGATGATACGATCCAGCTCCTGAGCACAGAGAGACAGTGGTGCCCTGTGCTTAGGGAGGGCTCCAGGCACGAGCAGTGTGTCCAGCCCCAAACCTCCAAGCTAGGGAGTATCAGGTCTATGTCCCCATACGGCCAAGCCCATCCTGGTCCCCACCCACATAGCAGGGCCAGCAACACCCCAACCCTTAGTGGGTGCTGGGAGCTCCCTTCTGCCCTGAAAACTTGCCAGAAAATCTGCCATGGGTTTTCCCTGGGAAAAACTGCTCTGATAATCCATATTTTATTTGCAACAGGTTTCAAGGGCAATATCCGAAGAACAAAGAGTAAACACCCCAGGAGAGGGAGCTGTGCGTAATTTTTCCTCCTCTGAAACACCATGTCCTGATGTAGAGCTACAGCTCCTGGTGGGTGGATTTTTTCTAGCTGCTGCTGAATGCTGCAGAGCTGGCGTGTGTCCCCCAGCTCTGCGGTCCAGCTGCTGCCTCCCTCCTCCCTTCCCACATCCCTGCCCAGCTCGGAGCGCCTCACCAGGGAAGTGGGCACCCCAACAGTGCCCTGCATGTCTCCAGCCCCCCAGGCAGCCCCTGCTCTCTCTCCCGAGGGAAGGCTCACCGAGCTGTCCAGGAGGCCGTTTCCATCGGTATCGTAGAGGCGAAACATAACTGCAGGGAGGAGAGAAGCTGTTGAGAGTTAGAGCCCAGCCAGGGGCACCCCAGGGCACCTCCAGGAGTGAAGCCTCTCTGCCACACGTGGGTGACACAGGCAGGAGCAGAGAGGGATGCTGAGTGGTTTTCCCAAGCGACAAGGAGTACCCAGCCCTGCACCCCTCCTCGGACAAACCCCCCAGGTGATACCCCCAGCCACTGGTCCCCACTCCACACAGCATGACTCCAGGGTCCTACTTACACTCCAGCTTGTCCTCTGCTCGTCCCCTTTCCAGCAGGGACAGGTAGCAGACAATGTCCTTCAGGTGGACCACCTGGGCCAGGGGGGTGGGGGGCAGTGGGGCAGCTTTCAGGGAGCTGGGGCTCTTCCGCAGGCTGAAGGGTAACCTCTTCTCCACATTCCTCGTGCCTGCAGCCAGGGAGAGAGGGATGAAGACCATGCACAAGGCTGGCATTTGGGATAGGAGCTGTCCCCAGCTGGGACACAGGGATTCTGGGGCAAGGACCCACGTGGAGTGGGGCTGGGGGCATGAAGAGGACACAGGACTGGGTGACACTGCAGAAGTGGAGCTGGGGGCACAAAGGGGATGTGGGGCTGGTGCCACCACAGAGGCAGAGCCAGGCACTGCCACTCAGACCATGGGGTGCAGACCCCCACACCACCACCACAGCAGGTGGAGGCAGGATGAATACTGGGAGTCTGTGGGACGTGCTCTGCTGGGCACAAGCACCCACCCAGAAGGAGAAGAGCTTGGCTGGGGCTCTCCCAGCACTGCCCTCCTCGGGGCTGGCAGGAGCTGGGCAGGGGCAGCCGTGACTCACTGCCCTGATCTCCCCTCACCACGAGCTGCTGCTCAGTAAGGCACTGACTGGTGGGGGCTCTGTGGGATGGGACCTGTGGCTTAGGTTTGCCAAGCAAAGGTGTCAAGATGCCAGGAACCTGCTGAGTTTGGAAGGTCACCACCACTGCACCAGGGACCCGACCAGCTGCGCTGCCAGGGCATGGAAACTGGGGAGGGCCTGTCACTGCTCATGTCCCACAGTGGAGCCCCAGCCAAGCTCACCTGGAGACTGAGGGCTGAGCACGGACCCTGAGGAGACCTTGGAAGAGCCAGAGGAGTTGTGAGCAGAAGTGGTGCCAGTGTTGGACTTCTGGGAGGATGACCTGGACCAGCTGGGGGAGGCATTGGGCATGGATGCTGGGGTGAGGGACGTTGGCTGTGGCTCGGCTGCATTGCTGTGGCAGCTCTTGGGCTCAGGAGTGTGTCGTCCCAGGGCACTCCGAAGCGTTTTCCCATTGATCCCTGCAAAGCAGACATGCCCAGAGGCAGTGTGACACCAGGATGCCTGTGCCTCTTCCTCCAGGAACCGGGTGCTCGCCCTGGGTCCTCTCTGCTGGCCCCAAATCAGGCTGGCATCCCAGCCCTAGGGTTCTCTGAGGGGCACTGCGGGTGGCCCCTCATCCTCCTGCCTGGCCCAGTGGCTCCCAGCAGTGCTCCCATCCCTGGGTGACAGCCGCCACGTGTTTGGGACCAGACAGGGAGGATGTGGCCACCAACCACAAGCCAGAACAGAATGCCTGGAAAGGTTCTCCTTTTGCAATTTATAGTCCTTTCAGCAGATGTCTCCACAAGCCAGGAATCCACCCAGAAAGGGCTGGGGAAGGCAGAGTTGGGTGCCTGGCAAACATACCCTGCTCCAGGTACAGGGGTGTGTGGGGTGGCTACCTGCACCAGTACCTGGGACAAGGGGCACAGGCCACCTTGGTCTGGATGCAGATGCTGACATGAAGGGACTTAGGCTCTGATCATGCAGAAGAAAGGACAGTGCCACAGTGCCCTGTGGGTGCCCACCCTAGGGAAAGCCCTTCCTGGAGCAGCACTGTGCCCCGGGAGCTTGTCTGTGGGATGGGCAGAGCTGGCTGTGTGCTGGCCCTGATGCCACCCACCCCAGGTGCCACCCCCAACCTTCACTCCCGTGAGCCGAAGGGAGTGACCCCACCGTGCCGCGGCGTGCCCAGCTGGGTGGCATGGCTGACTCACCGAGGGTGCTGTGCTGAGACACACTGGGGCTCTGGCGCTGGGTCTTGGGGGAGGCTTGGCATATCTTACGCTTGAAGGAGGTGAAGAGGTGTTGGCAGAGCTCCTCAGGTACATCGGCCTCCAGGTAGGTCTTCATGAAGAGGCAGAAGCCCTCGTAGTCAATGGGCTGGGGAGGGGACAGAGGAGGAGGATGAGGTGCCCCAGGCATGCCACGAGGGTGCAGAGCTGCTGCTCAGGCTCCATGCCCTGTACCCTCTTACTGGGCACGTGCCCAAAACCACCAGCTTCCCAAATCCCAGGGGTGGGATATAACCTAAAGGGACCCAAGGAAGCAGGGCTAGAAACGCCCAGTGCCAGCAGCACAGAGGGACACTGGCAGGGACAGGGCCATACCTGCTCAGGGTTGTACTTCGAGAGGACACCATCCCCATGGAACTCCTCCAGGACATCCTTGAGCTTCTTGGTGGAGTCTGGGGAGACAAAGGCACCACACTGAGCACAGCCCTGCCAAGCCTTTGTCATCCACCAGCAGAATGGTGCAGAGGGGTTTATCTACTGTATATACAATTTCTGGATCCTTCCGTGCCTGGAAGGGGCCACCCATACCCTGCTTTCCCTTCCAGTTTCAGAGGGCAGGGCAGATATGGAATGCTGGCTAGTTGGGAGCTTTACATATACAGACAGCTTCCTCATGCCTGTATGAAAATATAGATAGACTCAGAGCGAAGCAAGGAAAGCCCAGACCACTCCCCAGTCCTGGCTGCTCTGGGCGTGATACTGAGCACACCCCTGGATGTCCTTGGCCCACTGCAGGTCTTTGGGTGACTGCTGGCAACCCTTGGCAGCCACAGACATCCCAGAGGCTGCCCTGCTCTAAGCACCTCTCCAGGCTGCACTGCTTCTCCACCAACTACTAGAATGAGCACACCCACACTCCAGCTCTGGCAGGACCTCAAGCACCGAGTTTCAGACCCCTGGGCTTTGCCCAGCCTCCCTCTCCAGCTGCACCAAGCCCCAGGCCCCCCCAGCACTGCTGCCAAGCTCCTTCCCTCAGCAGGAGCTACAGGAGAGGGTTGCTCTGCAAAAGCACTAAGGAAAATTACTGCAGAGGGTTGGCAACCCAAGGCGAGCTGTGGAGCAGCTCTGTGTGTTTGGGAAAAGCCAGTCTGCTTTCCTGGTTGGCATTTCACTTCGCTAACAGACGTGGGAGCCGACCGCCTTCAGAGGGACCAAGCTCACGTGTCCAGCCCCCAGAGTCTTCGTGCTCAGCACCATCCTCCTGGGCATGAGGCACAGGGACCCCCACCCTGCGCTCAGCAGCCTCCCCAGCCTCCCATCCAAACCCAAGGACTCCTCTAGGTCTCCGGGAGGACACTGAGGATGTGTAGGACACCAGTCTGGCACAGATCAGGAGGGGTTTAATCCCCTCTCCCCACCCCAGGAGGGTGCTCAGGGTACTCACAGTCTGTGTACTGCTGGAGCTGGGCGAACTCGGTGGGGCTGAGTGAGATCCACGCGCCATCGCCCATCCTGGGGCAGCAGGGCCACCAGTGCCAGGCTCAGTGCCACTCGGTCACATCAGCACTCTGCGGGGTGCAGGGGGCTCTGGGTCTGCTGCCAGCATCCTGCTCAGCCCAGAGCTCCGGGGCAGCTGCTCAGCACCCTCCTCCCTGGAGGGATGGAAAGAGGAGGGGATCAGTGGTGTTCTTCCCGTGGCGTGGGCTGCCCTGCCACAGCTCCCCAGGGACAGCCACCTTCAGCAGAGGAGTCTGTGGGGCAGGGGGTGCATGAGCCTGGAAATGGGCTGCCAGGGTGATTTCCCAGCTGGAAAGGGCCCCCCACTGCAGATGTGTGGGACTCCTACTCCAGTGAGCAGGGAGAGGAGTGTGGGCTGCAGCGGGAGGTCAACAGGGAGAGGGGTGAGCACAAGGGAAAGCACAGCACCTTGCTGTGTGACCATTCCCAGGGCTTGGTGTTCCCGGGAGAGCCCTCCTGTCACAGAGCCATCCCCAGGAGCTGTCCCCAGGGACCCTCTGTGCCACAGGGCCACCCACAACTGTCACTGTGCTCGGCAGGTGGAGGATGTGGCTGACAGAGGTGAAGCAAATGCTGTGGGCAGGGAAAGGACCTCATCACCCCCAGCACTTCCCAGCGTGAGGAGCAGAAGGAAGGGCAGAATTAATTAGAGAAGACACAGTGCCTGGAGATCCGAGAATGGAAACTCCCAGCTCGCTGCTCCACCTCTGAAGCTGGTGGTGACCTTCAGAGAACCATTCAAATGAAAACCTACAGCCAAAACTGGCACAAGGGAAAAGCCAGTGCCCCAGAGAAACCCTGACCAAGGGGCCCTCTCCAGTGCACCCATTCACATGCTTCAAAACCTCTTAGCTTTTTCACTTAACCAAACTTGTCACGAGGCAAAGGGCAGCAACTGGAGGAGGTGGTTGTTCTTCAATCTCAATTTTAGGGCCATTTCCCTGCTAAATGTTGGCTCCCAGTTTCCACCAGCCTGAGCTGATGGACAGGTCTGTGGGAAAGGCCACACAACTTGGGGTGATGCTCAGGGAGCACCTACATGCCCATGGCTGTGCCTTTTCATTCATGGAAAAGGTATTTGCTTACGGTGAGTGAGACATCTGGGGGAGCTCTCAGGTCCCATGTGCTGCATCAATCCCAGCAGAGTCCCTAGGGACACTGACACCTGAGCAAGCATCACAGGGCTGAGTGCCCACCCCATGGCTGCCAAGGGGTTTTCCAGCTGCAGAGATTGAGTGCACACCTCGAGAGGAACCTACCAAACCCTGGGCACACATTTGCTGGAGTTAAATATCACAACTGTGCTTAGTCCTGTTCAGTCCTTTCCTGCTGGTGTCTCTTCCAGCTGCTGGGGTCTTGTTCCACCCCTCCTTGGCCTGGGGCTTCTTGGCTGCTTCCAAGGGTGCCTGGAGGATCACAAAGCTTGGAGACCCCATAAGATGCTGCTCCTGCCCAGGGTGGTGGTGGGATGGCTGTACCAGGGATAGTGAGAAGCGCTCTCTCTGCTCTGACATGGGGCACTTGTGGGGGGACAACACACAGTCCTGGGGGAAATGTCACCTCCCCACCCTCATCAGGGCCCAGTGGCCCCATGACAACTTGCCTCCAGCCTGCAGTTATCCCAGCTCATCCTGGCAGCTTTGTCCCCATACCACCAGCTGGGGATGGGCTGGATGCAACAGTTGTAGGGCTAGGAAAAATCTCCCCAACATCTTCCCACACTGGCATTGCTTCAGTGGTGATCTTCATTGCAGGCAAAGCACAGGTAGGAACACGGTGTTTGCTTCATTCTGGGATGATGGGTTTGTCTCGAGGTATCTCTGAGGCTGGTCCATAACTCCAGCCATAAGAAAGCCCCAGGAGCGCACAGAGACTTTCTGTTTCCTGGCAAATGAGCTGTTTGGTTTGATCAGAACATATTTTTTATCCCAAATCTATCCAAGGAGAGGTGCAGAGTGCAGAGCTAGCTGAAAGGAAAGGCGAAGGGGGACCTGTCTGTGTCCAGCTGCCTGAAGAAATTAGGGAACACTGGGCCCTCCTGCGATGGACGGCAGCAAAAATATCCCTTGTCTCTTGCAACGGTGGATGACGGAGTGCCACGAAGCACCAGAAGGAAAGCAAAGCAGAGATAATTGGGCCATCCCAAGGGGCTTTCCCCCAGCAATTGCTGGAATAACAAATGCTGCTTCTGGCACATCAGCCTGGGATTTCAGGAAGGGCAGGAAAAAGCCTCCTTAGGAATTCAGCTGCTGCTCATTTGGCTGCCCTCTGAATTGTCAGCAGCAAATTATGTTCTATTAAATCAAATTTGCCTCATGCTAAAAATAGCTCCCTACTAGTGTTACAAATAACACGGATTACCCTGCCTGAAGGTGCTCACCGGGACACGGCCCCTCTCCCCACCTCGCGAGGCTTGGCTGCTCCAGCACCCGCTGACTCCGGCGGGCTGAAGTGGCTAGGAGAGGATGGAAAGGGGGAGCCTGGAGCCTCCCAGACCTTCCTGGGGGTTGGGTGCTGCTGGAGCCCTCGGAAGGCCCCACATGGAGCATCCTGCCAGCCCTGGCAATGAAGGAGGTGCCGTGGGGAGCGTCGCTGGGCACAGCAGAGGAGCAGCTCCGTGGGAGCCAGGGACAGGCCATGTAGGGCCTGAAGCACGTCAACAAGGGAAATGCCAGGCAGGAGCTGGCCATGGGCCAGTCCCTGCCGGTGAGAAGAGCCCAGACAAGCAGCAGGACCAAGTCACAGGCAGTGGGAACATCTCAATGTTCCTGAGCAAGGGCTGCCCATGGGCACCCCGAGTGTCCGGGGATGGGGGGCTCCCAGGAGCAGCGATGGGAAGGCAGAGGAGCCGTTTTTCCAGCCAGACCCCTCTCCAGGAGCCTCCCCACCCGCCCCTGCCTGCCTGGGGCTGCTGAGGACGGAGGACTCAGCTCCTACAGCACAGTGCTGTGGGGCTGACCGTGGGATTGGGAGTGCTGGTTCCACTGGCACCCTCCTGCCCTCTCTGGGTCCAGAGGGACCAAAGGGGACCTAATTCTGCCCACACTGGGACAGAGAGCCGTGGGTGGTGGGACAGCACCTCCAGGTGCCAGCAGAGCCTCCAGCCTCCGATTGGCTCCACAGGA